AACGCGTGTAAACATGAGCACTGGGTCAGGACAAAGGCAACCACCGCGCGTGCTGCCTCCTTGACCTTCGAGGTCCGTGCTGATCATAACAGGCGCTCGCTAACAGCACCTACCTACCCCAGGGCGTCTTAAACACAGCGATGCGGGGAATTCTATTCTCTGCGTGTGTGCGTGTTTCGTGCGTGAAAACACAACCGAGTGGCTTTAATCCTCAACAAATAGATGCCAGGCCACCTGGCAAAGGTGCAGCTAAGGTGCGCACATAACACGAGCATTGTGTAGAACGTGAATACATTTCTCAAAACTTTGGTCCAGATGACCGAGAGACCAGGAACGCGCCCCCCGATGTCGTCAGATCTCAAGAGCGCTGGGCATTGGCGGAGCCAGGATTTTCGGGTAGAGGGGGCAACCCATCCAGCAATGAAAAATGATAGAGGAGTTGTTCGTAAGTGAGGACTTTTTCCTTGCTTTTTATTCGACGCGTGTGCGGCGATGGCGCAGCCATCGATCGAGGGTCGAATTCGAACCGCGTGTGATCGGCATGGAGCTCGCTGAAGGTGTTGATGCCTTCAGGGAAGTCATGGAATGTAGACGCAACTAAATTTCGATTGAAAGCTTTCGTGACTGCAGGGATTCATCTTCTTGGTTCTTTCGGTAAAGTCACGTAGAATGGAAATAATAAAATAATAAAAATAAAACATAATACAATTATTCTCCTGACGTTTCGGCCACAACGCAAGCAGCCATCCTCAGGTGGAGAGCAGGTCTGTCGAGTAGACAGACTCTGTGGAGAGCAGGTCTGTCGAGTAGAGAGACTCTGTCTACTCGACAGACCTGCTCTCCACCTGAGGACGGCTGCTTGCGTTGTGGCCGAAACGTCGTGAGAATTATTTTATTATGTTTTATTTTAATTATTTTATTATTTCCATTCTACGTGACTTTACCGAAAGAACCAAGAAGAGGGGAGACGCAACTGTGCACAATTCTGAGTCACTTATAACCGCTTTGCCGTTACTTATTGCCAATTATGGACTATTTTCCTATCATCTCATAGAGTCCCTGGCACGTAATAATATGCTACACAGTGGCAGTGAGGGTCGCAAAATGCCGATTTATTACTAATAAACCCCAATCGAAATCCCTAATTTCGATCGGATCATTGGGGGGGGGCACGTGCCACCCCACACCCAGCCAGTGCGGGCGCTGAGCGGAGCTGAGCGGAGTTGAGGCCGGATGGCGCTCGGATGGGCGTCCACCACGAAACGCCGCGTCGCCATGGGAGCTGGCGGCTGAGTCTGCGTTTCGCGCTCAGTGCAGCGAAAGGCAGCACGGAGCCGCACTCGCAAGCTCGCAACGTCCATTAATGCTCGCCGCCAAATCCCCAGCGCCGACCAGCGTGGTGAAGTACGGTCTATTAACTGCTCCGGCCTGCGCGGAAGGGCCCTCTCTCGTCATAAGGCCATGTAGACACGCAGGGGCCCCGTGACTGCACACTGCCACTGCTGTTCCCGCTCAATGTTTTCATTTTTCATGGCAGAACGGGAGCCAACGTTCTTACGTTTTAGCGCAGAAACGTTTCAAAATAAATCGGGGAGAAGAATTTTTAAAATCCAAGGTTCAAATTCCGTCAACTCTACTTCCTGGCCCGTTCATGTAAACGTGGCATGAAAAGTTTCTAGCTTCTCGCGTGGGTAACATTTGGAAGTAAATAAATAAAACGGGCAACTTGACCCAACTTGACCCTGAATATAAATGTATCGTCACACGATGTGCCACGATCTCCACCGTCGCCTGATCTCAGCTGTTGAAAGTTACAAGGGAAAATTTAAATAATCACTTGCAGCTGGGGTCGGCATCCCCCCCACCGCATCACCCCCTCCCCTCACCCCCCTCCTGATGCCGAGGGGAAATGGGCGAGGCTCAGGATTGCGGATCACGCAGCTGCTGTGGCCGGACGAGTTTGACCGACCCGGGCCCAACATATCAAATCAATGTTTGACTCACGGCACCACGCCTTGCATGAGGAGGTAATTCCCCCACCACCCCACCGCCGACTGTATGAGCCCAAACAATACTTGTGCTTTGAAGAAAGACCATTGTGCATTGCTTGCAACATTGCCTTTTGAAAATTGTTTTTACTTTTAAGGCACACACATTGTTCGTGACGATTGTGTGAAATTGTTCTTGTTGTTCGTGCTTCGGCACCACTGCAAATGCAGTAATCACCAAATGTTGACTTAAAGCTTTCGTGACTGCAGGAATTCATGTTCGTTGGGTCTTTCGGTAAGGTCACGTAGATAGGTTCAAAGAAAATAACAAAAAACGACGACGTTTCGATCGCAACACAAGCGATCGTCAACAGGATGACGACCGCTTGTGTTGCGATCGAAACTTCATAGTTTGTTATTTTCTTTGAACCTATCTACGTGACGTTACCGAAAGACCCAAAGAATAATCACAAAATGATTCGTTTAATCAGGAGTTGACCCCATTAGGACTGGCACATCCTCAGAAAGTGCGAAAGAAGTTGCCGCCCCCTGAGCCAGGGACGGTTCCTGGCTTGATTCTGCATCACTTTGCCAAGCACATGAACGAGAAGTTTGTGGAGTCCCGGGTGGCTAGAACACAGCAAGTTGGCACAGGGAGAAAGCGCAGGCCATGCCGATACCGGTCATCCCAGTCGTTTAACCCACAGCATCTGGGTCTGTCCCCGTGACGTCTCGCCGGCAAGAATTCATGTGGGCTCAAAAGCGCGCCTAGCCCGGCACAAAGAGCTGCGGTGAGACCAAGGCGGTAAGAATTTGTCGTGTCCCGAGTTTCTGCGTCCAAGCGCACACGTCTACGTGTCCACACGAACCCGTCTGGCTCTTTTCACGCGAACTTCCTGCCACCGAGCGTCCATCGCGGCCTTAAAGCGCACCTAGCCTGGCACGAGAGCTGCGGCGAGATTGCGGTGCGTGGCAGCAGCAGCCGCCGCCGCTGCTGTGTGCACGCGTATATGCGCACGCGCTACACTGAACCCATCTCAACCGCACACACACGGCGCACTGCTCACAGGATTGGGCGGTGGGGGGGGGGCGGCAGGGGGGGGTCACGCGGATTTGTCGGTTACCCTGGCAAAGGTTCCTCCTCCCTCGCCACAGGAGTGAGCATACGCAGTGTGCAGACACAACCTTCTAGAGAAGCCGCGAGCCATGCAGATTAATCCCCTCTAAGGGACAGGGACGGGGAGTGGGGAGGGCAGGCATGGGGGGGGGATTAAAATAGGAAGCTCAAACGAGGGAGGAAAGAAGAGAGAAGGGAGGGAGGCCTCGTCCGTGAGCACGTTTGTGCTCGCCTCAGAGGCAGGCCGGAGATTGCTTTTTTGCTTTGGTCCAAGCAAAGTTGAGTGTCTTTTTTAAATCCTTTATATTAAGTTCGCTTGCTTGCTTGCGTGCTTGCGTGCTTGCTTGCTTGCTTACGACCGTGCAAATCTTTCGGTCGTTTTTTAACCCACTTCCCGTGATCCAATCGAGCTGACATTTTGCACACAGACTCGTTGTGCGTGACAATTAATTTCCAAAATGTTACACTGTTTAGGGAATTTTTTAAAAATATTTATTTACCAATTGCTTAATGGTGGCAGACAATCATCTGACCCATAGGTGGCAGCCATCTCAAGCCAGAGGACGAGAGGACTCTAGCCGCCACGCATATAAAGGATTTATAGTGAAAAACTTTGTTTTTACGGGTTAATTTTTTCTTAGTTTAACACGTAGACTTTTTTATATTCTGTTGGGTCTTTCGGTAAAGTAACGTAGATAGGTTCAAAGAAAATAACAAAAACTACGTTGACTTTACCGAAAGACTCAAAGAATATGAATTCCTGCAGTCACGAAAGCTTTAAGTCAAGATTCGACGTGGGCTTTTTTATTTTCTCACAGTTGCTGAGCACACAAAAGGGCCCAGAAATGCTAAGCGGCCAGCAACAAACAGCACCGCTGGAGGAGGTGCACTCAATAAAAGCGAGCACGTTTGTCGAATTCGAGCGACGTAATCGTAAGAATTTGAGAAAAGAGGAGACGCCGGGAGGGAATTCCCAAGTGGAGCAGAGAGGTAGAGAGAGAGGCGTTTCGATTTGAATTGTGGTGGTTGGACGCAATATGAATGGAGGGCTGTTTGACTAAACTTCACCACGCTGGTCAGTGTGGATTGGTGAAGGGGTTGGTTCAGGTATCACTCGCCACTGACGTTAGCCATGGCCGGGAATCGAGAGCGCAGCATGTGAAACACTGCACCATTTAGGCTAACGGAGAATATAAAACGATGACATGACGAGACAGAACAAGTATGTGTGGTTAATGCAGACTTGATATTTACTTGGTGTTTGAACATCTGTTTCGTTGGCAGAAAGGGTAAAACCTATTCTTGTTTTTCATCAATCTTGTCATTAATAAACCTCGCATCTCACCTGCACCGAGGAACTACACATGAGCAGGAAGGAAGCGAGCCAGAGCCTGCGCTCTAAACAATTGCCCAAAGCTCTGCGGTCCTTTACATATTAAGATGTGTTCAGCCAAACAATGAGCCTTTATACATGTTCTATTCTCATTTAACTCTTTACAAATTCTAGTGGCACTTAAATGCCTCAACATCTCAAAAGGCGCCTCACAGCACACCTCATCTCAAGCCAGTTAACTTCTCTATTGCAGTCTAGCCTAGGGGACCCCACCTCCACACGGCAGCTGTCCCTGTGCAGCAACAAGGTGTACGTCGCTATGTGGCTCTTTCCCAATTAAATAATTTGCGAGTAATGCACCTGGAGCGGTGCGTACACATCATTACGCACGGTCGTATTTTGAACTTCTTTCGCACCGTACATAGCCAACCGTGCTGATTGGTGGTGCGGAAATCTATCGTGGGGGGTGGGGCGGTGGGGGCGGTGGGGGCGGTGGGGGCGGTGGGGGCGGTGGGGGCGGTGGGGGCGGTGGGGGCGAACCATCGCACGTCCGGCTACTCACACGAAGAGGACGATGCCCGTGTTGGCCATGGCGTAGGAGAGGCCCAGGATGCCGCTGCCCATGATGGCGTTGCCGAGGTTGAACACCGACATGCCGAACGACGCCTTTCCCTCATGCTGCCGGCGGAGAAACAAAAGCGTGAGCGCACCGGCGTGGCCAACGTCGCCATGCGCAGAAACCCCCCCCCCCCTCAGTCTGAAGCCCACCAACCACAGCCGCTACACATTTCTGGGAGGCTCAACCGGGACTTGAGGCCAGCTTGTCAGCCGCGCAATCTTGTACACGGGTCCCCACTGCCCACTGCCAAACCCCTGCCCACTAGCCCAGGAGGCCTGGCCCATATTGCACGTTCATCGCGAGCTGAACGCGAGGCCGGAGAAATGATTAAAACTGGCGACAAAAATCCCGATGTTTGTAAATGCTTCGGGGGACGCCGGTAGCGGCCTGCATTGGCCAAACCGAGAGGTTTGGTAACTTTACTTTCATCAAGTCGAGGTGTCTCCCTCCTCAAGTGAGCAGCGGGGATCATATTCAGCTCTGTTGGTGGCACTGTGCCAATGGTGGAAATTCCATATTCCCATGGTGGTGGTGAGTACGCTGACAAGAGCACTGTCAACTTTCCACAAAAGTGGGCACCAACTTTACGCACCCCACTGGGAATTTGAATTTGCGACATTCCGAATGTAAATGACTTTGCCAGAACCACGATGCCAAAAGGTCAAATTGACCCGAATGCAGCTTTGTATTTTATTGTCTTGCGTGCGTTTAGTCTCCAAGCCACAGGACGATCGCTCTTGCTGAGTCGTGCATCGTCCCATATAAAAAAATGGCCCACGGAAGCGGATATCACAGAGCTACCTCTGAAATCCCAACAAAGTGACTTCCTATCCGCACTTAGGGGTGCTGCATTATCCGGGGAAACCTGATGTCCTATTGATCTTCGTTGCATGGCAGTCAAACCAATATATTATATCGTTGAATCTCAGAGGAGTAATTCATCCTAACTGAAATGATGGATTTTCATTATGTCTAGTCACTTTTGACCAGACTGAAACCACCAACTCGCCAGACTTGAGAATCCAGTTTAAAAACAGGCGGCCGAATCCCAGATTCAAACTTGCATCTCATCCGTGTTGGCCCAGTACTCTGATCCATGAGCCATTCACACACAGCGGTGACCTCAACGAGTTGAACTCTCAAGCCGTGCGGTCATTGGCGTGCGTGCTCGTGCGTGTATGCGTGTGCTCGTGTGCGTGTTTATGTATGCTCGCGTGTTCACACACGCGCGTGCGTGCGTGCTTGTGCGTGCGGGTCTCACATCTGTGAACTGTTTCCCCGGCTTGTTCACCTGACCGTCTGGCAAAAAACGTTCCGTCTCCTCAACGTCCCCATTAGTCCTGTAACGCACACAAGACCCTGGTTCAAACAAATCATGCTGGCAAGGGGGGGGGGGGGGCAATCATTGATATGTCATTGATTACGTAACGCTCGCCAACACGCCTGTGTGCCGTCCGTAACTGCAAATATCCCTTGGTTCACTGTCTCCGGCCAGCGATTGTGAGGTTTGTTTGACTATACTTCACCATGCTGGTCACTGTGGGTTTGGCGAAGGGGTGGGTTACTCAGGACCTGTTCAGACATCACTCGCCACCGATGTTAGCCGTGAGCGGGAATCGAACTCAGGTCGACGCTGCGCTGTTTAGCCCGCCCTACCCACCGATTGGTATAACCCGACCCTTTAAAAGTGGAGTTGTACCCATTTGGCTGTGTACATTGTCCCTGGAGAAAATGGTTGGCGACTTTTGCTTCGTGAAGATCCGAGCAGGCAATGGGCACTGCGGTTCGCGCCCTGCTGTTTGTTTTTTAACGATCCGCTGAGTTATCTCGCGCCTCCCTCGTCACCAGAAACAAAAGTCATAACCGGAGTAACAGCATAAGCGTTTTCAACCGCAGCTGGAAAAGTGTTAACCTTTGGAAAAGACATCACTGAGCTATTTAATCAGGGGCATGGAAGCCAGCGGGTAGCTGTCTGGGAAATATTCGGAGGCATATTTGCAAATAATTCCTACTGCTCTGGTCCGTATCTCCAAGTTTTGGTCTAACGCTTGGATCACAAGGGCCGGTTTTAATTCAATCAAGCGCATCCCTATGAGCAACACAACTTTATACTATGGGTTTGTTAATATTGGGCCATCTTCACGAGGGTTGTAGCATGCCCCCCCCCCATCCCAGTTCAGGAGGGATGGAGGTAACGCATAAACGCCTTCAATCTCGGTTGGAAAGTGTTCACGAAAATCATCATCATGAACACCACCATCACCGTTGACAACAGCGGTATCAGGCTGTAAATGCACTGTAAATGCACTGTAAATGCACTGCGCAGTACTGTGCACATGCCCTTAAGATGTAATTAACAAAACAAATGATACGCATAACTGTCAACCCACCTTCTCAGTGCCCACCTTATTACAGACCAATTCAGACCTTATGGGTCACCCCGTGCCCTTCTAAATCTCAACGTTCATCCTACAAAGTCCCATCACAAGGGAGAAACACAAATAGACAAAATTATTATTTTTTTCCCGTACTGAAACGGCTGTATGCCGTATGGGCCTGAAAGCTCAATTTCCCCTGTACAAGAACACGGGTAAACCGTGATGGGTTGACAGGCATGGACACGTCTTTACATTTGACACTTGACGGTTTATAATTGTCGTGGGCTTTACAGTTAATAGCAACGCTGCGCTGGTGGACTACCCCGGTTATTGCAGGCTCTCCTGGTGGGAATTCACCGGTGCAATCGCAGGTTGCCTTCGATTGCAAGGAAATGTCGATAGGCGCCTCTCTGTCAGCCAATCGCGAGGCAGGATTTATGCTATTAATTTCAACAACAATATCTGGGTCTGTCCCATGACCTCTTGCCCGTGACCCTTTCGACACTTCACGTGGCTTCAAAGTGCCCCCCTGGCTTGGCACAAGAGCTGTGGTGAAAAGCCACTTGGAGCAGCAAGCCCCTCGTTTCAAAGAAGATCTCCGAGTGAATCTCTTGTCTGCAATTAGGGTGGCGCTTATAACAGTACGGCAACTAACTATGGCGTACGTCTGCTGTACATTAAATATGATTCATATTGAACGGCATCGTATATCTTATTCGCAAACCGCCAATGTTGCCGTCGCATGCGGCGTTGCCAAGCCAACGTCACAAGACGAATTCAGCGTCGACAATAGAACCAGCGCGGAGACGGCCACCGTCAAGAGCCGCCACTGCCGGCGCGGACGTACCCCTCGTACTGGGTCCGTGAGGCGTCCGCAAAGCCGTTCAAACTTCCCGTTCCATCGGGAATGGGAGTCACCATCCTCAGCTCCACGGGACCTTTCTCCATTTCGGTTTCAAGCGCGTCGTCGTGAGAAGCTTCCCTCCTCTGTCGCAAGCACGGTACAAGCCCGGGCCCTCTTCAACAACGGTCTCGTCGTCCGTCTCTCCAAGGGAGTTTCAAGCCGAAGATGATCGGACAAGGCTCCCGGCGGCTCCGTGAACTTGCGCTGATCGTTCCGAAGGGCGTCACTGTGGGGAGAGAGAGACACGGAATGGTAAATTGGAAGTTTTTTTTTAAGTGGTCTGTGTCACGCTCTGTGACGCTTGTTCAGGTTGAGTGACCACCATGGAAGCAGATAAAACAACGAATGGTGAATTAGGATGTTTTTGACAAAGCAAAATATATATGTTACAATATCAGATCAAACACAGTGAAGACTCCACGCTGCACCAACAAACGTGCACACTGCTCCGAATGTGTGGCTCACGCCTAAAAATATGCAAGTTTGTATCCAAGGCAATTCAATTAGTACCACTTTATTGGCAGATTGTACTGCACATGGGCTTGGTGCTGCCATACGAATGTGGAATTTCCACCACTGGCTCATGCTCGTGAACAGGAAACGAGCAACCCTCCAATGCATCCATAATAGAGGTTGTTTGGATTCGATCGCGTAAATATAAATGTGTCATTAAATCTGCCACCACCCGACACAGCCAACTAGTAAGGTTTGTCACGTAAACAGAACGTGCCAATTCGTTACTAGTACAGCACCCACTGGTGTGTTGGAGAGCAAATCCACAACATTCACAATAAGAGTACGACATTTCAGGCGGAGATACCAGGTTGGCATATTTGAACGGGAATCCATTTTTTTCATTTTGTCCATTTTACTTCGTAAAAAGTTATCACGGCCCTTATACCTCACTCGCTCGTCCAGTTCTCTTAAACCTGGAAACACTGAGTCATCCAGAGCTTCAAAGTTGCAGGCAGTGAGCCCCGATGTTGGCAGTTTACCGGCTTTATGCCGATTACGTGCGGTGGCGGCGCTTTTTGAAAATGCCACCGCCACCGACGATTATTTACCAGCCACGATGCCTGATCGATGCCACAACACGCCAGCATTTGGGACCTAAGCGGCATCGAGCCGGGGGGGGGGGGTAACTTGAGATCGTCGCTCCGGGTGTGCCGCGGCGGAGAGAGCCGATGCTCAAGACACCGTATCGATGCGCTTTTAAAAACGCGTTGCTTTGTTGATTTTTCCACAGGCGGATAAATGTACATGGAAGGTTCTCGCTTTTTTTAACCATCTATTATTCTTGAAGCCAGTGGAAAACTTCAGAATTCAATCTGTGCGACGGGATACTGAAGACTAATTTAAAAGCTACACCTAATTGCGACAGGCCCAGCGATCGCACACGCCGCCTGGAATTCGGACCGGTGTTGCCAATTCTGCGAATGTTTGTCGAGAGATGCAGACGACTCTTTGGGTTCTCCCTCGTGACAAACTTTCGTGAAGGGCAACTATTCACAAATCTAGGGGCGACTTTCTGCGATGCGACCGTCGCGCGGACCTTAGGATGCGATTCCAGGACTGCGTCAAGGATCACCCGCGGCTGTATTACAACGCCTCGGACTCGGTCAACCGTCCGGTGGCATTTAGGAAGCGAATTTTCTAGGTCTGCTCGACGACTTTACCGCTTTAAGGAGTTGTAAACGCCGCTTCTTCATCCGCACGCGCGCCACGCGATGCCTACCGGTGTAACGCCCCCTCCCCCACCGTCCACACAACACGGAGCGACCGTGGGGGCTATCGCTCGCCCCGTTCGTTTTACATCCGTGTCCGTGACAATGGTAATAAATTATCAATAAATAAAGGCCCTGCCCTTTGTCAATCCACTGCTGGACAAAGGCCTCCCCCCCACGCCGTGTCGATTGTGGGGGTTGTTCGAGCGTTTGCGCGGCTCGGCAAAAAATGGTGAATATTGGGGGCGGGGAGGTTAGGGCGTCGTTCGTCACCGACGGCGGCCGTGGCCGGCAATCGAAGGACCGTCGTGCCCGCTTGCTGCGCCTCGCCACATCGGCGAGAAAAACACCCCTCGACGGTCGGACCGCGAGTCACGGATCGAGGGTCCAGCGTGGGGTGCGGCTCTGCGAGGAGGCGATCAGCGGGCTGGATGCCCACCGCATGGGATGGGATCGCGGGAACATGAGCCAGCGGGACCTGCAGGAGGAGCAACATTTGGGCCGATCCCATCTCAGCCAAAGGAGGGAAAGCGCCCGAGAGGACGCCCGCCGTGGGGAGATGGAGCGGTAAAACCGGCTTTCGCGTAGGCGCCAGACGGATTATTACTTCGCTGAGCCACAAGAGGTGACGACGGCTTGAAGAGGCCTTCATCCAGCGGTGGATTAATCGTGGCCGATGATGATGGCGTTAACGGTAACCAACCGCAGTTGTAATTAACGTGTTTTGAAATTATTTTGATATGGCCGCACGCCTGGCCTGTTAGTACGTTGTCCACAACACACTGATGACCACGATGATGGTGACAGTAAAGTAGCCCAATCAGAAATGGCTTCGATTTAACGGGCGTGAGGTTCTGGTAACCTCCACAGGCTTCCGTGAGCCAATGCCGAGACTTCAGAACAACTACTGGTGACTCCTCACAGACTAGTACGCTCTTTAGCCACCTCACCCAGTGGTATGATGATGGTCTAAAGCCAAACCCTGAGAGGATTTCAAAACAACTTTCCCTCAAGCACTCAGGCCTTGCCACTTATTTATTTTTCCGATTAGAGTGACAAATAAAAAAAGGGGATCAGACAAAGGACAATCGCAATATTTTGGCTGACTGGGCTTCTCTAAGCAAGGCAGAGACCATCCGAGTTTGCGATGGCAAAGGAACAAATCACGGTGGTCGTGGTGGAGGCGGACCTAACTTTTGAATCACACACCGACGAGCCAAAAGCACACACAGAGAGCGAACCCAGCAGTGGCTGACACCCAGCAAACTATCGCGGTTGGCCTGGGCCCTGTTGGGTGTAAGCAATGAGATGTGGGACCCCCTTACCTATTCACCATCGCCCTCCCCCCCAGCGTCACCTGGAACCTCCGTTGGCCCGTGAATCCCGGAGCAATTGCAGCGCTTACACACTCAATATAGCTACGCCGCCTGCCAGCAGCAACAACAGCATCGTCATCGCACACGCCGGGAGGCTTTCGAGGAGCAGCCAGGATGCCACGTGAAAGATTTGCCGGCGCCGCTCTCAAGTGCCAAACGGGAACGCACACACACGCACGCGCTGACCCGCGTGCGTGCGCGTTCTGCTTCACGGGGTGAAGGCATCGCTTATATTTAGCGGCCACGCCAGCCCTATTTGTCCGTGCAAAAAAACTCAAGCAGCGGCGAAATGAACCAGAGACCAGGAATAGAAACGCGGCACGGCGTACAGTCGAGGGAGCGACGGCAGCGATAGGACGCGGCAGTCCTCCCCGGCGAGGAGGGGGAACGGTCCACTGAGGGTCCTGGGCAGCGACGAGGGCAACTGTCGACGAAGGGAACGCGGTGTGCCGTGCAAGCAGGCAGACTCCGGCAGGACGCGTCGCGGCCGGCGGCGTAATCGCTACGGCGGTTCCGTTAAGAGGAGTCGGAGGAAGGTCCCAAGCCCGGCAGCGGTTGTAACAAAACGACGCAAAGTTTCAAGGGGAAATGATAGCACAGAAACCTACGGTACCATTCCGGCGTCCCGTTATGTTTGTTTTTTTATATTGTATTTATTTACAGGTCTTTATCGATCCACAGCTGGATGAATACTTCCACAGGCTGTGCTGGTCACGGCGGTCATTTTGACCATACTTCACCACGCTGGTCAGTGTAAGTTGGCGCAAGGGGCTGGCGTAGCCCCAGTCGATACATCACTCGTCGCTGGTGCTGACCGTGAATCGAATTGAGGCAGCCGGGTTTGGAGAACGGAGCGCGAACCGCTGCGCCACCGCTCCACCGCTACTAAATTAACCGTCCCGAATTAAAGATTCGCCACCTCTTTTGCAAAGGAGACCTGCACCAGCAGCCAAGTGGTGGTATACCTGCAAATGTATAATTTGAACACTGGCACACAACGCACGTGCGTACATCGAACTTCTTTCGCGCTGCAGGTAGCCCACCGTGTTATTCGGAGGGCGCGGAGGAAGGACAATAAAACTCAACACAAAATACGCCGTGCTCTCACGCAGGACGGCAAAGTGCCTTTGAACGTCCACTCTACAGCAGTTGGTGTGCTTTGTAAAAATTTGGCACCGAAGCATCGAGGATGAGGATGAGTGGCTCAAGGTCGAGCGAACCGGTCCTGGCGGTAAGCAACCTCGCCGCCACCGCTACGCTGCGTGACCTCGAGGTATCATCGTCGTCATCATCGCCGCTGCCACTGCCATTACAGCGCTCGCTTGTACGCGGCGCCGAGGCTCAACGCGAATTTTCAGGAGGGTCCTGCCGTGTTTTCGCGGCAGGGGGGGGTGGGGCGATGGCACCATTCGTAATCAGAGTCGAGTAATGTGCAAGGTACTTTTTCAACATTGGGATGCTTGACCAATACCATTTACAACACTGTATGGGGCGGTGTTAAAGATTTTTTTTTTTAGCTTTGGGAGGAACCCGGAGAAAACCCATGCAGAACAGGGGGAGAACATCCCAACTCCGCACAGAAAGGCACGCGAGAGACAGGCCTTCTTGGTGTGAAGCGCCAGTGTGCCAAGGCGCACATCCGCAAATGAACCACAGGCAGTCCCTTTAATAGCCCAGTGTGTGTCAAGCCGCAACTTGTCACGTTGCAATAATGCTCACGGCGAGGTCACCATCATGACTGGGCACGCCAACAATTGAGTAGCTGCTGACAAGAGAGGTTACACAACGCTCACTTAAAAAATTAATGCTCACAGTTCTCCAAAGCTAGTAGACATCGCCAACACTGAGCAGAGGTAGCAGTCAACGAGAGGAATCGTGGGCAAGGGGATGTCCCCCCCCCCCCCCCCCGAAGAAGTGGAGCGATAAAATCAGCTCTTGGTGCACGTGCCAGGTGGACTGTTGCATTGTGGGATCTCTTAGGGTTAGCTTTCATCCAGCAGTGGATCGACCGCGGACGATGACGGTGTTGATGATGTCATTGCACATACCGTGTAGACACACAAGGCCTATGGCGAATCTCAAACGGTATGCAACGATCAGAATACGGAGTACTTGGATGGGAATAC